GCACTGTGGGAAGAAGGGGGTTAGCGGGGGAGGCAGTGTCTCTTACCAGACCGCAGGTCGGAGCTGCCGCTCTAGCATGGCCTCTCGAGTGCGCTTTCCAGCTGGACCCAGGGACTGGTTTTGAGGGAGCACCCGGGTGTGGCAGTGAGTGTCCAGGAGTGTGACGGACATGCCATCCACACATACCCATTACTGTCCTTCCTCAGTTGAGGGCATGGTCTCCACATCCCTCTCTTCCATTTTTAACAGACCTTTAAAAGGGAATGGGGGCAGTCAGCAAAGGATGATTAAGGTTCTGGACTCCCACATAGCCTGTCCCGACCCGGGGGACAGTCGAACAGGTTTCCTGAGGGAAGGAGTGAGAGACGGGACGAACGATGCACCGTTAAAACACGACCCAGTGTTACAACTCTTCAGGGTCGTCCGTTTATTATGGGCAGCACGGAGATGACACAGTGTTACAACTCTTCAGGGTCATCCGGAGGGAGACAACGCAGTGTCACAGCTCTTCAGAGTCTTCAGGGTCGTCTGGCAATTGTGGGCCAGGGATCCTGGTTATATACATGCTGGTAGGCAGTGATTGTTTGAATGAAGGAGTGTAAAAGGTGGGTTATGATTGGTTGCTTTTGTGGACCAATCATGAAGTGCCGGATATGCAAATTTGAGGGATTCTAAGCGCACCGATTTGCTATGGGAAGTGGCCAATCAGAGTACGGTTTTGAAGGTGAAGTTTTGAAGGGGAGCCAATCATGGCCTTTATGGGAAGTGGCCAATCAGAGTATGGTTCTGAAGGTGAGGTTTTGAAGGGGAGCCAATCATGGCCTTTGGCATTGTGTAATTGTTTGCTCTCTGAGAAACCAGCGATAGTCACTGGTGCACAGCCTCCCACAATAGCCAATCATGGATTGAGTCCCAGACCTGGCAGCTTGAAAATCATTCTGTGTCCAAAATCCCAAGAGGAGAATAGGATAGAAGGGATTGTGGCATGGCCATCCCTCCAGTGGGTGACTTCTCACTTTCCTTTTCTTTCTGTCTCTAGTTAGCACCCATGCCCTATAGCAAAAACCTCAAAACAAAACAAAACAAAACAAACAAAACAGACGTGGGCCGGCAGGTGGCGTGGTGGTTAAGGGTGCTGGATTCCCACATGGCCGACCATGGTTTGAGTCCTGGACTGGCGGCTTGCTCTCTCGCTTTCTCTCTCTCTCTCATTCTGTCCCTCTATGGTCAAATTGAAATAAATACATAAATAAGAATAAATAAATTTAGATAAAATAATTCTTTTTTTTTTTTTTTTTGGAGAGGTTTTCGCTATAGGGCGCGTGCGCTCGCCAGACAGAGACATAGAGACAGAAAGCGAGAAATCACCCCCCAGGGGGGATGGTCACGCCGCAATCCCTTCTCCTCCATTCTCCTCTCGGGATCTTGGGCACGCACGCACACGCGCCCGGCGTGAGATTTAAGCCACCGGGTCCGAGACGCGAACCGCGGTCGACTACGTGGGAGTCCAGCGACATAGCCATTACGCTAACTGCTGGTTCCGACTGTGATTCGCGTCTTGGACCTGGCGGCTTGCTTTCTCACTTTCCCTGTCTCCTCTCTCTTCCTCTGTGTCTCTCTGGCCAAATTAAAAAACATAATAATAACAACAATAAATAAAATTAAATAACTAAAAAAAAAAACCCAAAACCGAAAACAAACAAAAGGAGGGTGACCTGATGGTGAGTGGAAACGCAGCCCCTGAGACTGACCGACGTTGCAAGGTTCTAAGTTTAGTCTGAGACCTCCCTGCGTTCATCCGGCATGTAGGTGCCCAGGACTAGGGGCTTGCTGACGCCGTGGTCTGCGACAGGGCCTGGGTCAGGGTGCTGGTTCTTTTTCTCTTTTTTGTTTTTAATTGCCAGAGGGCATGTGTGCTTGCCAGGAAGGAGAAAAAGCATCCTTCCATTGGGATGTGGTCATGCCTAAGTCCCTTTCCCTTCTCCTTCGCATCAGGACGTTGGGCAGGCGCACGTGCGGCCGGCCTCTTCCATCGGGCTTAGCTGTGTGGGTCTGGTCCCAGTGCACAACGTGTAACTCTGTCTCCCACTCATTCACCTGCTCGCGGAAGGAATAAATGGATAAACTTTAGGGGAAGAAAACAGGCAAGTGGGATCTCACAACTTAGGTGTGTGGGTGTATATATAGTTACATATTTTAACGTTTATTTCTCCTGGCAGAGAAAGGGCCAGGCACCTGCGACAAGCTCTTCCCGCCATGGCCCATACCTCTCCAGCCAGCCTGGGTGACTGAGTAGTGCCTGAGGGAGATGGAGCACCCCTCATTGGACCTGGCCATGCGAGATCCCCTGCCTCTAGTCCTCTAGTCCTCTAGCCCATCAGATCCCAGGCACTGCACGTGTCCTTGACATGTCTGGGGTGACCAGGCTGGGGACTGGGACAACCACGGTTGCCTTGCAGGATCAACCACAGTTGCCATGTGGGATCCAGCCTCCCACCAGCGGCATAGCACTGCTGCACCGTGGAACCGGCCTTAGAATGACATTTTTTTTTTTTAGAGCAAGAGAGAATATCTGAATTGCATGCATGAGAGGAGAGAGAAAGGTTTTAAAAATTAAAAAAAAAATCATGGTAGAGCATGCGTGTACAGATGTGTGAGTGCGTGGGACAGAGAGAGTACCCTCCGCAGGGTCTGGCCACCCGATTCCCTTCCTACCGTCCCCTAGCTCTTTGGGCTCAGGCATTAGCACACGTGCCTGGTGTGTTTTAGGCCCACCAGGCCAGGGATCCAAACCATGGTTGCTACGTAGGCTCCAGCCTTCTTTTTTCTTTCTTTTTTTTTTTTGGAGAGGTTTTTGCTATAGGCGTGTGTGCTCCCCAGAAAGACAGAGAGAGACAGACAGAAAGCGAGAAATCACCCCTGGGGGGGATGACCTCACCACAATCCCTTCTCCTCCATTCTCTTCTTGGGATCTTGGGCACACACGTACATGCTTCCGACATGAGTTTAAGCCACTGGGTCTGGGACTTGAGTTGTGGTCGACCATGTGGGAGTCCAGCGACGTAGACATTACGCCATCTGCTGGTCCTGTAGGCTCCAGCTTTCTGTGAGCAGTGCTTTACTGCTGAGCCACAGAGGTGGCCCAAGATAGGTTGTGTTTTTTTTTTTTCTTTAAGAGAAATTTTTGCTGGGCTGACAGGTGGCATGGTGGTTAAGGGGCTGGACTCCCATGTGGCCAAGTACGGTTCAAGTCCTGGACCTGGCAGCTTGCTTTCTCATTTATTCCCTCTCTCTCTTTGTCTCTCTGGTCAAATTAAAAAATAATAATAAATAAAATAAATAATTATTATTTTTGAATTATTTATTGAATTTTATTTATTTTATTTTGGCCAGAGAGAGACAGAAAGTGAGAAAGCAAGCCACCAGATCCAGGACTCGAACCGTGGTTGGCCATGTGGGAGCGTCCAGCACGCTACCTGCTGGTCCCATAAATAATTATTTTTTTAAAAAATTATTTTATTTAACTTTATTTATTCATTTACTTATTTTAATTCGAACAGAGAGGGACAGAGCCAGAGAAAGAGAGAAAGAGAGAAAGTGAGAAGGCAAGCTGCCAGGTCCAGGACTTGAACCATGGTCGGCCATATGGAAGTCCAGTGCCCTTAACCACTACGCCATCTGCTGGCCTCAAAATAAAATAATTATTTATAAAAAGAGAGATTTTTTGCTCAAGGACACATGTGCTTGCTGGAGAAACAGAGACAGAGACAGAAAATAAGAAATCACCCTCCAGGGGGGATGGCCATGCCACGGTTCCTTCTCCTCCATTCTCCTCTCAGGATTTTGGGCACATATGCACACATGCCCAGCACGAGCCACTGGTTCCAGTACTCGAACCGCGGTTGACTACATGGGAGTCCAGCAATATCACCATTATGTCATCTGCTGGTCCCATTTTTTGAAACTTATTTATTTAATTTTTGTGTTATTATTTTTATTTTGACCAGAGAGAGACAGAGAGAGAAAGAGAAAGAGAAAGTGAGAAAGCAAGATGCTAGATCGGGGACTCAAACCATGGTCACCAGTGTGGGAGTCCAATGCTTTAACCACCATGCCACCTGCCGGGCCTGGTTGTATTTCTTTTGTAATTTAAAGTAAAATTTCGGAGGGCCAGCAGTTAAGGGGCGGCGGTTAAGGTGCTGGACTCCCACATGGCTGAATGTGGATGTGGATTTACTGGGCTGTCAGGGAAAGTCATGAGGCGTTTTTGCATAGAAAAACGTAGAAAAATACATTATGACTTTCTGATGACCTAACTCTGCGGCTGAAGGCGTGGAAGAGCCTGGGCCTCCCAGCCTGCCCCTGAGGCCCTCGCTGTGGCTGTGTGCTGGGTACGCAGTAGCCACCTGACCCAGCAGGGCCGTTTCCTGTCACACAGGTGTTTCCGAAACGGACTGGCCAGTTCTAGAAAGGCCAGCCCTTGTTTCAGAAGGAGGCCTCACGGGCGGTTTGGGAGCCAGGGCGCCCAGACGACCTGGTGTCCTTCTAGGCGTTGACTTGGGACCCTCTGACAGCAGTAGCAGACGCAGCCTGACAGCTCCCGGGAGAGCTCTGGGAGGCCGAGGGGCAGGAGCTGCAGTGTGGGAGTTGGGTTCTGGCCCTCAGCCTGCAGGCCTGCACACTCTCGGAGACATGCATCTGCAGACCCGGCCTCTCTGCCTGCATCCTTGGTCCCCGGCAGATGCTTGGCCCCCAGTTTGCACGTTTCAGTTCGGGCAGGGCAGCCTGACCTGTGGGTCTTTGTCCTGGTTCTGTGTCACTGCGGGACCGGCTGACGTAACGTTGGGAGCCGGAGTCTGGGACTTGCTTGGGGCTCGGCTCGTGAGTTGGGTAGGAGGTTTCCTGAGAAAAGGGCCCTGGGAGGCTGCGTGGATTCTCCAAGGGGTATCTCTTGGCCTTTCGGGCCAGTGAGAGGCAGGAGCCTGAGTTCTGGGGTCTCCATGGTGCAGGCAGGAGAGCTGGGCTTCGGGCTGTGCCGAGGGTCTGCCCCCTTCCCGTCCTCTGAAGGCCGCTGTGGCTTCGGTCTCGAGCCTGGAGGCCGACTGTCAGGTAGGGGCATACTGCTCTGCTTCCTCCCGGGGACCCCGGGTGATACGAAAGCCTGACCAGCCCCTTCTCTGCAGCTTCTTCCTGAGGCCCAGTGTCTACACTGCCCTTCCAGTGCAGCCTGGCCTAGTGGGCCGGGCCCACCCGCCTCCAGGAGGAGTTCTGGCTCACTCTTGTGCCAGCCACTTGCCACCTGGCATGGAGGCACCCCTGTTCAGGGTAGCCTTGGGCCTCATCCCCAAAAGGGTCTCCGATGTGGAGAGCTGACACAGGCACCGCAGTGCCAGAAGAGGACAGTGGCTGCTTAGCAGTTCACGGGGAAAACGTGCCAGTGCAGGTTAGTGGGTATATGTATTTGTGCACACCAGTGTTCCTGGGCGTTTGGCATTTGCCGTTCGCCTGAGTAATTCAGCAGCGAAACAGAGATACCTGAAAAGAGCTGGCTCAGAGCTCGCCCTGTCCGCCGGCTGGGGTGTAGTGGTTAAGGGCGCTGGGTTCCATCAAGTTCTGGACCTGGCGGCTCGCTTTCTCACTTTCCTTCTCTGTCTCTCAGGTCAAATGAAAATAATAAAGTTAAATTTGAAAAAAGAACTTGCCCTGTCTGTGGACATTTTTGCTTGCGGATGTGATTTTACATTAATTTTTACATCATGGTGACCATGTCCCTCTCTTAGGTTTTTGCCATAGGGCGGGTGCCACCTCGGCCTGTCACATTCTCTTAGAAACATTGTTTTGAGAGCCAGCGCTGTGCATGGTGGGGATGGGGAGCTGGGCTGCAAAGAGCTGACTGTTGAATTCAAATCCTGTCCCGGGAGGCTTGAAAACACACTGAGATTGGGGCCGGCAGGCAGCATGGTGGTTGGGGGCACTGGACTCCCACATGGCTGACCATGGTTCAAGTCCCAGACCTGGTGGCTTGCTTTCTCACTTTCTCGCTCGCTCTCTCACTCTGTCCCTCTCTGGTCAAATTAAAATAAATAAAGCTAAATAAAATAATTATTTAAAAACAAAAACAAAAACAAAAACACACACTGAGGGACCAGCAGGTGGTGTGGTGGTGAAGTCAGCACTGGACACTTGCACATAGCCAACCATGGTTCAAGTCCCGGACCTGGTGGCTCACTTTCCCTCTCTCTCTGGTCAAATTAAAATAAATGAATGAATAAATAAAATAATTATAAAACAAAACTTTGAGTGCGTGTGTGTGTCCAAAACTGCAACAGGGTGGAGAAATGGAGAAGGAATTATGTGACCACACCCCATTAGGGGACCTTTCTCCCCACCCCCTAGTCTCTCTTTTGAACATGCAACCCTGTGGTGAATTGGAAAAAATAAACTTTTGTTAAGAGTTAATTCTTATTATTATTTTGGGAGGGAGAGGTTTTTGTTATAGGGTGCGTGCGCCCTCCAGACAGACAGAAACAGACAGACAGAAAGCGAGAAATCACCCCCTAGGGGGGATGGCCATGCCACAATCCCTTCTCCATTCTCCTCTCGGGATCTTGGGCACACACGCACACACGCCCAGCATGAGTTTAAGCCACCAGGTCTGGGACACGAACTGTAGTCGACTACATGGGATTCCAGCGACATAGCCATTACGCTAACTGCTGATCCCAAGAATTAATTATTATTATTACTTTGATTTTTCTATGGGGCATGTGCATGCACCAGAGAGAGAGAGAGAGAGAGAAAGAGAGAAAGTGAGAAAGCAAGCCACCGGGTCTGGGACTCAAGCTGTAGGCAGCCATGTGGGAGTCCAGTGCCTCAACCCCGACACCACCTCCTGGCCCCAAGAAACACTGTTTTGAGTACCTCTGATGTGCTTAGTGGCCCGGTGTGATCCACCCCCAGCTTCAGCCAGCCCCTGACTGGGGTCAAGCTTGTGCCTGGCTTATTCAGGGAGGTCTCTAGACTGGAACCAGGAACCGTTCCATGTGGGATTGCCTCTTGGGCTGTAGCACGGCTCGCTCGGGTCCCTGTACCCACACATGCATTCCTGAGTGTGCACACCCTCCGGGCAGCCTCCTACAGCCCTGTGGTTTCATGGCCCACCTCTGGGTGGGAGCTGGCCAGAGCCTGTGGCCTGGGGAATGCTCGGCATCTCCCTGTGGGTGTCCAGCAGGCCTCGGTGTAACACGGCCCCACGGAAGTGCCTGCATTCTCCCCCCAGTCTGCCCTCATGTTGAGGGACGCGCCATGCTTACTTCCCTCCCTAGTCACCCAAGATTCCTTTCCCTTCACGATTTGAGTCCTTTGGACACTCCTCTCCAAATTTCCTGATGCCACCCACACCCCAGCTCTGCCCCTGCCCTCTCCAGTCTCACTTCTCCCTGGGCAGTGCCCCTGCCGAGGCTGTTCTTGGCTTATACCTAGAGAGCAGCCCCAGCTGTTCATCCCGATGCCAGCAGGCCACCCTCCCTGTCCGGCTGTCTCAGGCATGCGCCCGCTGTCTCTAGGCTCCCGGCCCTTTTCTGTCCTGGGGCTTGCTCTGGTTACCTGGGCCGGGGTGCGTCCCCACAGCTCTCCACTTGTCCCTCACATCTCAGTCAGGTGCCGTCACCCAGGGCTGCCTGTGCCATCCTATGCCTGCAGCCTCCAAGCGCTCCCATCCTATCCTCTGCATGTGCTTGGCACCACTGCTTGGCAGGTCTCCTGCTTCATTGTTCCCATGTCCACGTGAGCCCTGGGCCCAGGAGTCTTGCGTGATTTCTGTGTGTCCCAAGTTCCCACCGGTGCCTGGCAAGTGCATGCTCAGTGGGCGCCTCCTGTGTGCCACATACCATGCGGAGAGCTGGGGACACAGCTGCCAGGCAGTCCTGTGCTGGAGCGACTCGCGTGTTACTGGGCGGCAGAGGAGGGAGAGGAGCCAAGTGGTGCGTGAAGGTGAAGATGTGGGGTGCTGGGCCTGTGCCCCGCAGAGAGCCGCCATGTGGGGCCGGCCCCTCCCTCTCACCCTCCCTCCTGTCCTTCCTGGGGGGTGCTCCCGCCTGTGGAGCCCTCACTTGGTAAGGAGCGGGCACATTGCACACACGGGAGTTGGTGTCTCCTCCTGCCCTCCCGTCTGCCCATGCCCAGCTGGACGGGGAGGGCCCAGCTGGAGTGCAGGGCTGCAGCGTGGCGCTCTGCCCTCCAACTCGCACTTCCCTGGGAACCATGGGAGGTGCTGCCGGAGGGGCTTGAGCAGTCCAGGCTGGGCGGGCCCGAGGGTCTGCCCATGTGCCTGCCAAGGTGCTGCCACGGGCTCTGATGTGACATTTTTCTCGTTGCCACTCCTTCAGGAATGGCATCCCTGCGACCCCTCCACACGACTTCCTTGAAGTCCTGTCGGGCTCCTGCTGGCCCTCGGGGTGGCCACCCCTGTGGCTATGGGAGAGAGACAGAGCTGATTGGCCGGCTGGAGGTCAAGCATCCTCCGGACAGGAGGGCTGGGGTCCTCCTAGGAGAAGGGCGGGGTCTGGGCAGGCAGGGTGACCGGGGGCGAGGGCCCCGGATGGGATGTGGCCAGGGCAGCAGGTGGTGACGCTCGCTTTGATTTCCCCTCCTAGAAGAGTTGCCAGACGGCCAGCATTGCCATGGCTGAGGTAGCCACCCAGGCCCGGACGCACGCCGACGCCCAGGTGCAGACAGATGCCCCCGAGCCGCTGGGTGTCCTCCCTGTGTCCCGGCACGAAGCTCCCCGGCTCGCGGCCTTTCTTCGCAGAGTAGAGGCCATGGTCATCCGAGAACTGAACAAGAACTGGCAGAGCCATGCGTTCGACGGCTACGACGTGAACTGGACCGAGCAGCAGCAGGCGGTAGGGAGCAGGCCGGGGTGGCCTGGCATGCCTCGCCTTCTGCTTCGGGTCAAGCCTCTGCTTTGTTCCACCCAAAACGATATTGTTGGCCCAGCCGTGGTGGTGCAGGAGGTGGGGTGCCCCTGTGCAATGCTGGAGCCACGCGGTAGGCCTGGGTTGGATCCTGAGTTGACCTGTGACCCTGGCTGGTGTGGAGGCTGGGGAAGGATCCTGGCATAATGAGACCGTCCAATTTTATTCTCTTTCCTTCTCTCCCAAACGAAGGAAACAAAATAAACTTTAAAAAGCAAAACCAGGGGGCCCAACAGGTGGCGTGGTGGTTGGAATACTGGATTCCCACATGGCTGACTACGGTTCAAGTCCCAGACCTGGTGACTTGCTTTCTCACTTTCTCTCTCTTGCTCTCTGGTCAAAATAGAAAATAAAAATAAAAAAACAGCAAAACCAGGAACAGCAGTGCCAGCATCAGCTGCCCGTCACCAGGCCCTGACCTCTGCCAGGTTCTGGCCGAGTTCTATAAGGACACATCATTGAGCCTTCACTGCTGCCCTGGAGCTAGGGCCAGCCTTCTTGTTTGCCAGCTGGGGCAATGGGCACCCAGAGGCAGGTTCGAGCTCAGGTTGTCTGAGTGCTCGGCCTCACGCACTGGGCAGTGGGCTGTCTCTGAGCCTCGTGGTTCTAGGAGTGTCCCGTGGCATGTCATTCACGCCTCGAAATAGCTGTCCGATGTAGTACTTTTCATAGACGGGGCTCAGAGGGGCTCCGTGACTCGCCCCTGGTCACACAGCTGCAGAAGGGTACGGCTGGACCTTGAATCCTGGTCTTCCTGGCTTCCCTCCTGAGCTCTGGTAATGCTGGTGTCTCTGAAACTTCTGCCATCGAAGCACAGCTCAGAGCCGTCCCACGGCTCCCGTGTGGAGCTGCGGGAGGAGAGAATGGCTCTTGGGTCTGCTCCGTGCCAGGCCCAGGGACCCCCCTCCGGCTACTCTCTGCGTGCCCGGGCTGCTGAGCCTTTTGAATTCTAATGTAAAGGTAATTTAAAAAAAAAAAATTATTTATTTAATTTTATTTATTATTTTTAAGTTTGACCAGAGAGAGACAGACAGAAAGAGAGAAAGAGACTCTCTTTCTCTGCCTTCCTTCCTCCCTCCCTTTTAAAAAAGAGAGAGAGAGAGAAAGTGAAAAAGCAGGCTGCCGGGTCCGGGACTCACACTGGTTTGCCCTGTGGGAGTCCAGTGCCTTAGCCACCACGCCCCCCTGCCGGTTCCAGTAAAGTTGATTTTTTATATCCAGTTTTTTTCCTTTAGACACTGAAATGAGGAATTATGTCTTCACAAGTCATAAACCCTTCCCGCCCGCCCTCTGTAGCCCCCGCTCCAGTCCCTGGTGACGACAGCCGCCCTACCGCCACCACATACCTGGTGGACGAGTGTGGGCTCATTTGAGAAAAATCATCACAACTGCCCTGGTTTTTCTCAAATGAACCCACACCAGGATACATAGTCCTCATCTTTTTATGTTATTTTTGAGAGAGATTTTTGCTATAGAGTGCGTATGCTTACCAGAGAGACAGAAAGCTGGAAATCACCCCCAGGGCAGATGGCCACGCCACAGTCCCTTCTCCCCCACTCTCTCAGGCTCTTGGTCACACGTACGGGTGGGGTCCGGCCAGAGGGGATCCAGCTCCCTTAGTCACCAGGCCTTGGGGCCAGCCCTGTTTTCACACTTTCGGACTGTCCGGTCTGAGACTGAGTGCACACCGGCGCAGCCGTCCCCACACCCAGCCTCGATGCCTGAGCATGTGTGTGGGACGTGGGTGGGTGGCCACAGCTCTGCCCTGGCTCTGTTCCTGGGGTCTGGAAGTGAATGTCCCGTCAGGGAGGTGTCGGGCGGGAGGCTCCACGTTTTGCTGTGGGACTGGGAGTGGACTCGATGGCTGTGAGGCTTCGGAAGGCCCAGGCCTGGCTGCAGCTTTTGTCTCATCATTCAGGATAAGGCACGTGGGCACACACAGCAGAGAGCACGCCCGCAGGGCCTGGTCACGCTGCCACCCTCCTGCAGTCCTCCAGCCCCGGGCATCTGGGCACTGGCAGGCATGCCAGATGAGAACCGTGGCTACCATGTGGGGTCCACCGTCTTGGGTGTGGCACCGCTTGTGGTGGAGCTGTCCCCAGGGGGGCTTTGGGGCTCAGGGTTGGGTGGTCTGTCTCTGCAGGTGTCCTGTCTGCACACCCTGGGCTACCCCCCAGCCCAAGGGGAGGGTCTGCACGTGACCAGTGTCTCCTGGAACACCACCGGCTCGGTGATAGCCTGTGCCTATGGCCGGTGAGTGGCAGCAGGAGACCCTGTGACCCAGCCTGGGCTTGTCTCCCACCTACACAGGCCGGCGCTGGTCCCGAGAGCTTAGCCTGCTGGGTCAAGACAACGGGTTGGCAGGAACCAAGCGGGGCGGTAGGGGCCGAGAGCCCAGCACCAGGCCCACCTGCCAGCACTGGGCAGTGAGCCCGGGCCTGCCTCACCTTCCCCAAGACCCATGCCTGGATGCACAGGGTTCCCACCTGCCTTGCATGGGCCTACCCTTGGTGCCTGGGCCCTTCCCAGAACCGCGCGCCCTTTGGGTACCGTAGAGGAGCCTGTGCCACTCAGTGCCCAGAGAATGGCGTCTGGGTGTGAAGGGGGCGCAGAAGCCAATCTGCTTGTGGTTCCTGGGGATGGGGGATGGGAGCCCTTGGCCGAGGGGCAGAGCCAGCTCAGTGTCCCTGTGTAGGCTGGACGACGGGGACTGGAGCACGCTGAAGTCCTTCGTGTGTGCCTGGAACCTGGACCGGCGAGGCCTGAACCCCCGGCAGCCGTCGGTGGTGGTGGAGGTGCCCAGCGCCGTCATGTGCCTGGCCTTCCACCCCACACAGCCCTCGCACGTCGCGGGTGAGCACTGCCTGCCTCTGCCTGCCTCTGCCTGCCCCCCAGGGCTCTGCTGCTGCCCCTCGGCCCTGGCCTCCAGGCCCGGTCCCCAGGAGGAGAGACGGCAAGGCTGGTCCTGGCCTCCTGGGCTTGATTTAGAGCCCTCGTGGATTGTGGCGGGGG